CTGTCGGAAGACACTGAGAGGAAATTGTTATCCTGTCGGAAGACACTGAGAGGAAATTGTTATCCTGTCGGAAGACACTGAGAGGAAATTGTTATCCTGTCGGAAGACACTCACGGCTAGATGTACATTTAAACTGTTCACGAAGAGAAGTTTTATCATTGAAATGTACACCTCCATTGCTCTAGATGTAGCAAAAACAAGATATTTTCTACAAGTCACTGCTGAAAGGAACACGCCAGTGTTGCGTACTTTTCACTTTTAGTTGTACTTGTATGGTCATATAGAAATCTAGAAGTGCCCAAGATTTTCTGCCTGCAACATTTTTTTGAGGATATTATTTTTTTTTTAAGGATGGTAAATCCTCATTTTTTTTTTTCTGTTGAGGATTTTTTTTTAAGGATGGATATTTTGTTTTATTATGGATGGGTTTTATTTGTTAAAGGAATATTAGATCTATGTGCTTGATTAGTTTAATTTTTTTAGGATGTTTTTTTTTTTTTAAAGGATGGTAATTTTTTTTTTCCAATTGAGAATGTTATTTTTTGTTTTCTAAGAATGGTCTTGTTTTTTTTGAAGGACGGTTAATTTTTTTAAGGATGATAATATTTCTTTTTTAAGGATTTTTTTTTTTTCATTTAGGATGTTTTTTTAAGGAGTATTAGATCTAGATCCAGATCTGTGCATGATTATTTTATTTTTTTTGGATGGTTATAATTTTTTTAGGATGTTTTCTTTTAAAGGATAGTGATTTTTGTTTTGTTGGGAGGACATTTTGTTTAAAGCGCTCGATTATTTAAAAAAAAATTTTTTGGGATGGTAGATTAAATCTATATATTTTTTAGGATAGCTATTTTTTAAAGGAATATTATGTGCTTTGTTTAAAAAAAAAAAAAAAAAAAAGCAGCAAAATTATGTGCCTGGTTACGTCTTGGCTACTTCCATGACAAAAAAAAAAAGCAAAAGCGTCATTATATTATGTGAACAGATGGACGAAGTAAAGAAGGGATTGAATTTTTTTAACATTTGATTTGGCTTTTTTTTTTCTCTATCGATG